GTTTAATACTGCTGTATCCATGTGCTAAAATAATACTGCATCTCACTTGAAGTATGCATACTAAATCTTAAGAAATTCAATCTTAGAAAAGACTACCTTCTTCCTGAATGAGCTCTGCCCAGCCTCACCACCAAGTCCCAGACCTTTCCATGAAGTAGTCTTCCATCAATGCCACAGATGAGATAGGGTGGGAAGCCTCTTGACTGACTGAATATACCTCCTGCCTGCCTTGTTATTTGTCTCCACTTCTGGGAGCAAGGTGCACCCTCTGGCTCCCAGTCTCCCCCCAGGCATAACTCCACAGGCCAGGCATTCCCTGCCCTGGAAGCACAGGGACTGGGACCAGAGGACCCCAGCCAGATGACCAAGTGCCCCTGAGCCTGGCTACTCATTCCAAAGAACAGTCCTCTTCTAAGTCCTTCACTTTCTGGCACATGCTGGCTCTGTCCCAGCATCGGTTTACTTCCCATTCTTGGCCAGAATGTTGGCCTGCTCCTTAGCATGCAGTGGCTTCACTTAGAACTTCACCCCAACACCTCCGGTCAGGCCCAGGCAGCAGGATGAATACAGTTTTCCCATCATGTTTTGGTCCTTCCCAGGAAAGGCTAGGGGACTGGGTCCAGGGGGTGTCAATCAGCCTGCACTCAGCCCCAACAGCCTGGAAGCTTGTGTCTCTGTGGCCCACTTAGCTAGATGTCACACAGCTCGAGGGACCCAGAGAGGCAGGTGTGGTCACATGTCAATGGGACCAAAGAGAAGGATGGCAAAGTACTAACCAGCAAGACTTTGTCCAAAATACAGCGTAGCCAGAGTCATCCTGTCACCAGAGTCAGAGCCAACAGGCATGGCCTACAGGTCCAGAATCCCCAGGCCCAGGCCCAGGCAGCCCCAGGCCCAGGGTTACTGACTCTCTTCATGCTACCATCAGATCCTACAGCAGACCTGCAGGCCCTTGAGGTCAGAGGACGGAGGGGGAGATGTCCTTTCTGGGAGAGGAGCCCTTTGGTGGGCACCCTGCTTGCCCCTCACTCCTGCCCCTCTCTCCACTTATTCCACTCCACGAAGCATATGGGGGCCCCTGGAAAGTCCCGGCCCGACTATTCCCCAAGCCTCCTGCCATTTTGAAGACCACTTCATGCAGAACCACTACTCGCTGCTTAGTTTCTAAAATGGTCATTCTAAAATGCAACTTTAAGTCACCAACCATTATGGCTGCCAAAGCCATCTGTTAAAAAACAAAAAAACATTGCCAGGGATGATGGTTAAAATCATAAGGTCCGCACACAAGGGAATCATCAACATTCACAAAGGAAATGGAGGCCATTCCACAGCAATACACCCAACATTCAGGGACAACCCGCTCCAGTACCAGTGCCTCCAGCCTGAGGGCAATGCTTCACCCTGGACCTTCACTCCAAGCTCTGGGGGACACTGAGTGGCCTAATAATAATTCCCCTAGTGTGCAGAAAAACAGAAATAGTTTCACCAAGCACCACAGGCCAGCACGGCACCATTTATGAAATCCTGGGGCTCTAGTTCTCCCAGTTTCCCAAGTTTCCATTAAACAGCTGCCAAATGGCCCTATGGTGGCAGGAAAGGCACCCTTGCCTCACCTCTCTCAGTCTCTCAGAAGACAGGCTGGCGGGGAAGGAATGTGTGTCACTCAGTGACCGTGTAATGGGGAAGAGGTTGCTCTGGGGTCCTGGCCCTGTGACCTCTGCCTGTCAAAGCCAACTCCAAGCCCCTTTAGAATGTTTTCTGAGACTTAAATGTTTGGGTACACAAATCTCCCTTAATGGAAGCTTGCTCTGGCTTGTGTAAAAAGCTGTGTAAACTTCATCTCTGCATTTACTCAGCACCAGCCTTGTTTAATTTCCTGCCCGGGGACATTCAGGGAACATGACTACCCTATCAGGACTCTGCACATCTCTCAGAAAAGAAACATTGCCCTCCCCACTTTAGGACCAAAAGACCCCTCAAAAAGGGCAATATACCCCCCACCAACTTAACCAAAACGGCAAGGCAGTTTGACCATATGCTCTTTGTTGAGTTTCTCATTAGAAAAAGTAGCTTAAGACTGAGGGGACAAGCAGCAGCTACAGAATGTGAGGCGGCTCCCTTACGCTGTGAACCAACAATGTGATGCCGCTCGTCAAGGTTCCACCTTCGTCCTTGGACAGTGGAGGCAATAGCGTGCCTGCCTTGCAGATTGCTGCGAGGCCCAAGCCAGCATCAGAGGTGGTCATGGTAGTGGTTAAGTGCTTGCACTCTGGAGCCTGGCTCCAGTTCAAGTCTCAACTCCTCTCTTCACAGGCTGCAAGACCTTGCAGTTACTTCTGCAAAAATGCAACATGATGGTGAGAAGCGACAGCTGTGGGGAAGGAATAAGCAGTGTCCTAGAGAGAGACGCCAGGTTCTGAGATTTCTGCTCCACTCCGCCATGAGCTGTGGAGCTGCAGGAGCCCTCCCACCACACCAAAGCCTGTGCAGACCCTGTGCCCACTTCCTGGATGCTCAGATCAGGATCATAAATCACTTGCCATAAACCGTTGTCTTCAAGGGCAGCGTCCTATTCCAGATTCCACTTAGGACCTCCCAACAGAGCTTCCCGCTTCCTGCCACCACTTAGTGTCTGGCATCTCAGAGACCTGAGCTCACGGGTGGAGTGGACAGGAAGTGGGGACGGCAGGACCATGTCATTCCGCATACAGAGCAAGGAGGAAATCCCAGGCCAAACCCCAAGCCAAGCTACTCAAGCCCTACAGTCAAGCCAGGCCAGGACCCAGGGAGTTCCTGACAGCAGGGGCCTCACCTAGATTAAATTCTCCTCCACCCAGCCCACATCCTGACCCTCTCCACTGCTGTGTCGGTGAGAAAGCCTGTTCTGGCTTCACATAATGTTCCCTGGGATCCTGCTGGCATATGCTGTCAGGACTGCAGAGAAAGGGGCTCCCGTCCCTCGCAGAGCAGCCCACTTTCATGGCCGCTACATCACTGTTATGTGGCGACTCTCCTGTGCTACATGCATAAGCGTCGCTCCTCTCAGAGCCAACTCTCCCACCTGGAAAATGAAGGACTGGCCTAAGCAGTGGCAAGGCATGGGGGCTCTGGGCCCTATGCCCTTGGAGCACCCTGGGCAGCTCCCCAGGACCAAGGTGGGCCGATGGGGCAGTGCTGAGTCCCGCCAGGTCCTGCTGTCCACCCCACACCCACACACAGTCCCTTCTCGGCCCAGGGAGGCCCCAGAAGCCTGCCCAATGCACCAAGAGGAGAGCGTTGACCAGGGCCTCAGAGCGGCTCTGCACCTCACTCAGCAGGCACACAAACACTCTGCAGGGGCAGGACTTGGGGCCACAGTCTCGGTGTGAGACCAAGAGGCTGCAGAGGTGTTTCTCCTGGGCTGTGCTGGGATGTGTGGGAATGAGCTCCGGCCAAGACTGGCCTTGCGCACCTTGGTTGTTCATGTGATGCCTGTGGCCGGGTGTGAGGTGTAGGGAGGACGAAGGGAATGGCCACCTCATCCTTCCACTGGCTCATTCAGCCGGGCCTCACCCAGCTCTCCCCACGCACTGTACCCCTAATGGGGGAAGGAGGTAAGGCAGAGAGACACAGCCCGCAGGGGGCCTCAGACAAGTGAGGCGGCCGAGCTGGAGCTGGGGGAGGGGAGGTGCCCAGGGTGTGCACCTCCTTCATGTTGGTGCCCTGGGCTTCTCACCCCCCACCGCGCCCCCTGATTCTGGCCCTACCAGTGCCGGTCCAGGGTGGTTAGCGCTTCGTGAGAAGTACAGGGGCTGTGGCAGCCGGGGCCCTGGTTCCCATTCTAGTCTGCGGATCCGGGAAGGGTTTTCACCAGATGTGAGGAGTTTGGACTCCAGGAAAAGGAGCCCCCTCAGTACTGCTGACTGCCGCTCCCCTCTGTTGAGGTCACCAAGCCTTTGCCAGGGCTGCCGAGGGCAGGAAGACCACAACCACCTCCTTTTCTTGCCCCCTGCGCTGGAGCAGACGGAGGAAGGGATGCTGAGCAAGCCAGCTCACGGTGGCTGGGGGACGCACCTGTGCCCTTGGGGCACAGCTGGAGAGGCGCGGGGCCCCTGGAACCCGTCCCAGCTCGTCTGGGCGCCTCTGCCTGCCGCGGGCCTCCCCCTGGGCCCTGCCTGGGTTACCCAGCAGCCAGTGGGGCTCCGCGCCAACCGGGCTACACGGGGAGAGAGCCTGTCCAGGGGAAGCTGGAGGCAGGTGCCCATGCCCGGCGAGCCCTGTCTGTGACACGGTGTGCGGTCCACGACCGTCTGTTTGGCGTATGTCTCTGATCACAGGTCTGTAACCGTTTCTCGGCCGTCAGTCTGTGTGACCCCGTGGGTCCCTCTGTCCGTGCGCGCTGCGAGGCCGGGCCGGGGCAGCCGCAGCCGCGTCCTCGCTCGTCCTCATTGGTTGGCAGCCGCTCCCCGGGGGCAGCCGCCGCCAGTCCCGCCCCCCGCCCGGGACCGGCCGCGCTCAGAGCCGCCTCCGAGCTCAGTCTCCTGCTCGAGACCGCGGCGGCCAAGCAGGGACACGGGCTCGCCGCACGCCGGGCGTCCTGACGGCGACTCCAGGCTGCGGGGCTGCTCCGCGCCAGGGGGCTCCCGCCACCCGCCCCGGGTGCACGCGGCGTCCCGGCGCTGAGCGGGCGCAGAGCGCTGCGGCCGCGCTCCCCGGACACTGTCGCCGCCGCCGCAGCTCCGAAGCGCCCCGTGCCCGCGGCTCATCGGAGACGGGCGGCTCGGCACTGCGGGCGGCTCCGGCGACAAGCGGCGAGAGCGCGCGGGTCGTCCAGCCCCGAGCCCTGGGCTCCGCCGGCTGAGCGCGGAGGCGAGGGGGCGGCCGCGGGCTCTGTGGCCCCCCGCCGGCCCGGAGGCACCGACGCTCGGCCAGCCGCGCGCAGCAGGGCGGAGGGGGCGCGCCATGGAGGCCCCGCGCGGCGCTGGTCCGCGCGAGGCCAAGTGAGGCTGCCCGGCCGGGGCCGGCGGGCCGGCGGGCCATGTACGGCGACGTGTTCAACGCCACGGGCGGCCCCGAGGCGGCGGCGCGCGGCGCGCTGGGCCTGGCGGCCACGGTCAAGGCAGAAGGCGCGCTGCCGCTGGAGCTGGCCACCGCGCGCGGGGTGCGGGACGGCGCGGCCGCCAGGCCCGACCTGCCCACCTACCTGCTGCTCTTCTTCCTGCTGCTGCTCTCCGTGGCGCTCGTCGTCCTCTTCATCGGCTGCCAGCTGCGCCACTCGGCCTTCGCGGCGCTGCCCCACGACCGCTCGCTGCGCGACGCCCGCGCGCCCTGGAAGACGCGGCCGGTGTAGCGGCGGAGCGGGCCTGGGCGGCCGGGGGCCGGGTCCCTGTCTCGCCACGAGCAGGCGGTACGAGCCGGGCAGGGTGGGCCTGACCCCGCGCTTGGGTCTCTGGCCCCGGGGAGCACGGCGCCCTGACCCAAAGACCCTTCCGGACTTGGAACGGCACCTGGGGGGTAAAGGGAGTGTTAGGAGGCTGGGTAGGACCCCGATACTGGTAGCCGTGGGGTAGCACTGTTCTGATCCCCTGGCGGAGGCTTTCTGTGCCCGGACGGGACAGCGGGTCCAGCCGGGGTGCCGCCGGGACGCAGAAGCTCTCCTCGGCTCGTGCTGGCTTCCTTACTCTGCGCGCAGAGGGGCAGGCACGGCGAGCGTGCAGCGGCCGCTAGGATCCGGGAGCTGCCTGCTTGGCCCCTCTGGCCCTGGGGCCGTCTTCCCGCGCCGCTACCGCCTCTCGCACTCTTTGGCACCGAGGACCCCACCAGGCTCCGAGCGTGAACTCAGCTGGACTTTGGAATGAAGGCCCTCGGGGGCCGCTTCCCCGGGGGAAAGTGAGGGGACGCAGAGTTTCAGTAAGTCCCACCAAGGTCCGATGACCCAGGTTCCCCTACCCGCACGGGCGGAGGGGAAGCAGGCCTAGAGGCAGAGGCACCTCACGGTCAGGGATCCGCGTCCCGCATCCCCAGGGGCGGCATTTCTACAATAAAACCTCACCGAATTAGACTCAGCGCTGAGAACGCTCTGGTCCTTCGTTGCGCCACTTTGGAAAGGGGGACGAGGGCAGGGCGATCCCGAGCGGGGTGAGCCCCAAGCGCGGCTCCCCACCCTCCCACCCCGCCTCCTCGTCTCCTGCTTCCCTGGGGCCCAGGTAATTTTTAATGATGCTTCTTTCTCTCCAGCTTCCCTAGAGGGTCAGTCAGTTACCTGCTGTGGGAAGAGGAATTGCTGCCTCACCTGCTGAAAACACTCCCGGAAAGGGGCTCCCAGGAGACCTTCTTTCCCCGCCAAGGTGGTTCCTTCCACCTGACCTCCTCTCCTTTGCTCTCAGAGCCTCCTTGGACCCGAACCTTTCCAAGAGCCCAGGACCAGAACCATCTGGTAAACAGCCTGAGGATTAGGTGATGAGGGCTGCTGCCCAGCACTTCTTCCTGAACGAGGCAGGAGGCTAGCTCTGCAGAACGCAGCTGGAAAGCAGTGGGTGAATAAACCCAGCTAGGAGATGATTGCAAAGAACCTGAGAAAGATTGGTGACGACTTTGACCATTTTCAAAGTTAATCTAATTCTAGGGAGTCTTCTGTATGGGGCTTCAGAATAGTTTCAGGAATCACCTGGCTCAGGAGGGCATTATAATTTAGAGAATATTTGACTAAAAAAGGATTGTAGATTATCTAATCTGGTAGATTTAAACTGTCTGGGGTCACTCAGGTTTTGAGAATCTGAAAAATGCTGGACATTTGTCTCTGGCAAAGGCATACAGGCACACAATTCTGCAAACCTTTTGTAAGGGTTGTCAGACACTAAGAGTGGTCTAAGGACACAAGCTGAGGCTGGGGCTGCTTGCTTAGGCTAGGGCTCCCTGCACGGCTTCTCAGCCACGCCCAAGACCCCCTCCTGGTTGCTGTCCCATGAAGCAGGAGAGATGAGCAGTGGACGTTCCACCTTGGGCTTGATTACCCGTGTCTAGGAGAGCTAACTCCAGCTGAGTCCAGATGGTGCTAATTCAATGATAACCTCACAGAATATTTTAGTTTGGTCTTTGAAGATGTAGCCAAACCTCTCCAGCCTGTATCATAGTAACCCAGCCAATATGCATGACCCTTGCTAGCAGAGAAGACTGAATGGAGTAAATGTAAGGAAATTACGACAGCCCCTGGCTGGCATACTTTAATCAGACACTGCTGATGTGGGGGGCCGTTTGGCCTTGAGGTGGGGGCTGTGAGGGGAAGGAGACTAACGCAGAGGCAGCGCAGTCCTCCTCCGCGTCTTCTGAAGGACGCATCTGAAGGCACTGCGCAGAGTGGTCAGAAGTACAGGCTCTGGAGCCAGTCTGGCTTTTGATCCCAGCTCCACCGCTCACGGGCTATGTGACTGTGCAAATTAATCTTCCTTTCACCTATTTCCTCATCTGTGAGATGGGTATTCTATCACCTGGCTCTACAGGGTCAAATATGAAATAACATCACACATGTGACATGCTAGCTCTCGAGCCGGGCAGGGTGGGCCTGACCCCGCGCTTGGGTCTCTGGCCCCGGGGAGCACGGCGCCCTGACCCAAAGACCCTTCCGGACTTGGAACGGCACCTGGGGGGTAAAGGGAGTGTTAGGAGGCTGGGTAGGACCCCGATACTGGTAGCCGTGGGGTAGCACTGTTCTGATCCCCTGGCGGAGGCTTTCTGTGCCCGGACGGGACAGCGGGTCCAGCCGGGGTGCCGCCGGGACGCAGAAGCTCTCCTCGGCTCGTGCTGGCTTCCTTACTCTGCGCGCAGAGGGGCAGGCACGGCGAGCGTGCAGCGGCCGCTAGGATCCGGGAGCTGCCTGCTTGGCCCCTCTGGCCCTGGGGCCGTCTTCCCGCGCCGCTACCGCCTCTCGCACTCTTTGGCACCGAGGACCCCACCAGGCTCCGAGCGTGAACTCAGCTGGACTTTGGAATGAAGGCCCTCGGGGGCCGCTTCCCCGGGGGAAAGTGAGGGGACGCAGAGTTTCAGTAAGTCCCACCAAGGTCCGATGACCCAGGTTCCCCTACCCGCACGGGCGGAGGGGAAGCAGGCCTAGAGGCAGAGGCACCTCACGGTCAGGGATCCGCGTCCCGCATCCCCAGGGGCGGCATTTCTACAATAAAACCTCACCGAATTAGACTCAGCGCTGAGAACGCTCTGGTCCTTCGTTGCGCCACTTTGGAAAGGGGGACGAGGGCAGGGCGATCCCGAGCGGGGTGAGCCCCAAGCGCGGCTCCCCACCCTCCCACCCCGCCTCCTCGTCTCCTGCTTCCCTGGGGCCCAGGTAATTTTTAATGATGCTTCTTTCTCTCCAGCTTCCCTAGAGGGTCAGTCAGTTACCTGCTGTGGGAAGAGAAATTGCTGCCTCACCTGCTGAAAACACTCCCGGAAAGGGGCTCCCAGGAGACCTTCTTTCCCCGCCAAGGTGGTTCCTTCCACCTGACCTCCTCTCCTTTGCTCTCAGAGCCTCCTTGGACCCGAACCTTTCCAAGAGCCCAGGACCAGAACCATCTGGTAAAGAGCCTGAGGATTAGGTGATGAGGGCTGCTGCCCAGCACTTCTTCCTGAACGAGGCAGGAGGCTAGCTCTGCAGAACGCAGCTGGAAAGCAGTGGGTGAATAAACCCAGCTAGGAGATGATTGCAAAGAACCTGAGAAAGATTGGTGACGACTTTGACCATTTTCAAAGTTAATCTAATTCTAGGGAGTCTTCTGTATGGGGCTTCAGAATAGTTTCAGGAATCACCTGGCTCAGGAGGGCATTATAATTTAGAGAATATTTGACTAAAAAAGGATTGTAGATTATCTAATCTGGTAGATTTAAACTGTCTGGGGTCACTCAGGTTTTGAGAATCTGAAAAATGCTGGACATTTGTCTCTGGCAAAGGCATACAGGCACACAATTCTGCAAACCTTTTGTAAGGGTTGTCAGACACTAAGAGTGGTCTAAGGACACAAGCTGAGGCTGGGGCTGCTTGCTTAGGCTAGGGCTCCCTGCACGGCTTCTCAGCCACGCCCAAGACCCCCTCCTGGTTGCTGTCCCATGAAGCAGGAGAGATGAGCAGTGGACGTTCCACCTTGGGCTTGATTACCCGTGTCTAGGAGAGCTAACTCCAGCTGAGTCCAGATGGTGCTAATTCAATGATAACCTCACAGAATATTTTAGTTTGGTCTTTGAAGATGTAGCCAAACCTCTCCAGCCTGTATCATAGTAACCCAGCCAATATGCATGACCCTTGCTAGCAGAGAAGACTGAATGGAGTAAATGTAAGGAAATTACGACAGCCCCTGGCTGGCATACTTTAATCAGACACTGCTGATGTGGGGGGCCGTTTGGCCTTGAGGTGGGGGCTGTGAGGGGAAGGAGACTAACGCAGAGGCAGCGCAGTCCTCCTCCGCGTCTTCTGAAGGACGCATCTGAAGGCACTGCGCAGAGTGGTCAGAAGTACAGGCTCTGGAGCCAGTCTGGCTTTTGATCCCAGCTCCACCGCTCACGGGCTATGTGACTGTGCAAATTACTTAATCTTCCTTTCACCTATTTCCTCATCTGTGAGATGGGTATTCTATCACCTGGCTCTACAGGGTCAAATATGAAATAACATCACACATGTGACATGCTAGCTCATGAATGTTGGCTCTGGTTGTAACTGAGCCTCAGGCTTCGGCAGCACTGCCTAAAGGGGAAGCTGGCCCCCAAAGCAGCATGTGCTCTCTGAGGGCTCACTGTCTGCTGTGACCACAAACAAATGCAAGAGCAGATCCTTGCAGGGGAGAATATGAGTGGGTGACCGGCCTAGATGGCTCCTGAAGTTCCTGAGCCAGAATCAGCTAAAGCCATTAGGATCCAGGGGACTCTCGGATCCCTCATAGAATATTGGCCCAAAAGGCGTCAAGAGGTTAAAGCTAAAAAGTGCTAAGATGTAAACAACTTGGAAAGCACCTCTCTGAGGTCTCTTAGGGTTGCAGAGGCCTCAGGCATCTGAGCCAAAAGCTTGGCCCCTTCAAACAAACGGACCCTTTTGGAACGAACTCCCAGGTAGGCGGGCCCATGTAGAGCTGAAATCTAGAAACCGCACAGGGTCTCCAACAGGAACTCGACAAGGGGTTCTGCTTTCCGCCAACACTCTGACTGTGAATAGTTTCGTTCCCTTCTTTAGGCTAGAGTTTGACTAGTTGAGCAGTCATGGGTCCCTTTCCCTGTTGGACCTGGTCCCATTCTCCCCTGGAAGGCAGGGATATGGCGAGTTCATGTCTGCCCTCTGCTGATAGGCAGGATAAGTGGACTACAATGCGGCCATTGGGCATTTAGATGGCTGTACACACGTCCTCCTGCCCTTTGCTCTCCCATCAGCCCTGTGCTGCCTTGGAGCCCCTCGGCAGAGCTGGGCATGGCAGGCAAAGAATAAGACCAAGACCCACGAATAGGTGTTTTTTCTACTCTGCCATAACCAGCCACAGGGAGCAGGCAAGAAGGTTGAGGACACATTGCTGATGGTGACTAGGGTGGAACGTAGGGAAGGTGGTTGCAGATGCCAGGAACCAGGGAGAAACAGCAGCGTAGTGACCAAGAGCCTTAGTCCTGGAGCCAAGAAACTGATTGCGGCCAACCATCTATGTTTGTCTTGATCATGTTTCTGGTTTCTGAAAGCCTCAACTTCCTCATTTGTAATATGGAAATAAAAATCAGATTTGCTTCACAGGATTTTCAACATTGCATGAAACACTGTAGGTAAAGTTTTTAGCTCGTGTCTGACAGGTAGTATTTTGGACGTGTGCTGCCATTATTACTAACGCTTCAGAAGTGCTGGCAGCAGCACAACCAGCAAGTGCCCTCAGTGACCTGCAGTCCTTGTTCACAAGCCATGTGCTTCCACCAAACAGTAAAGAGGCCTGTCGCGCCCCAGCAGATGTGTCCCGAGTTGGAGGGCAGCTCTCCTAGGTCTTCTCTCACTGCTCTCTCCTGTTAAACTACCTCATCCTTGCTTGTAGCTTCAGGTGCATT